ACTGTTGCCAATCTTTGTTTTTTTCCTGCCTTTTTCCCCCAAATCCCCCCAGTACATAGTCGTATATTTTTAGTTGTGGGTCCTTCTAGTTGTGGCATGTGGGATGCCACCTCAGTGTGGCCTGACGAGTGGTGCCATGTCCGCACCCAGGATCCGAACTGGCGAAACCCTGGGATGCCAAAGTGGAGTACACAAACTTAACTACTCAGCTACTGGGTCAGCCCCTGGATTCCAAAGACTTTAAACCACTCTAGGATGACTTCTTGGGGATTCTAGTATATGTTGTGATTGCTGTAACCACAATTACAGTCTCTTTATTGTTGTCTCTATTGCTAATTATTCAAGGGGATGTTCTCCAGCCCTATTTTCATATTGCTTTTCAAATCCATCTTTTGTGTTGTATTATAGCTGGTAAAAAACATAAAATTTCACATTTTTGGGAAACTTACTTTGATCATTCTTTTTTTTTGGCTGATGAAGATTTGACCTGAGCTAACACCTGTTGCCAGTCCTCTTCTATTTTGTATGTGAGCTGCTGCCACAGCATGGCCACTGACAGACAAGTGGTGTAGGTCTGCACCCGGGCCACTGAAGCAGAGTATGCCAAACTTAACCACTAGGCCACCAGAGCTGGCTCATGTGTTGATCATTCTTATGCCTGCCCTCTAATGAATGTTTATTGATAGTGACTATAGAAATGCTCGATGGGCAAGATTTAAGAGCAGTCTTTCAGTTTAGTTTTTAACATATTTTTTATTGGAAATGTGTTCATTTTGTTTGAGTAATATATTCCTTTTGTTCAAATTTCAGGAAATGCAAAAGGTATGCAGTATAATGTCTCAAGTACGTCTAAACCTCAACCACATATTTCTGTTTCCCAGAGGCAACCAGTTTTGCCAGATGTTTTCATATCTTTCCAGAAATATTTTAATGCATATACAGTCAAATACATATATATCCCTTCTTTTTTCATGTTTGAATATATCCTACAGATCTTTTCATATCAATCATAGACAGGTTTATTGTTTTTGACAGCTCCATGACATCCATTGACCTTAAGTCAGTTAAGAGAAATGGTTAGTCATGGACTAGGTAGCCAGACTATCCACATGTAGACCATGGATCTGCTACTAGGAAACCCCTCTTGTAAGTTGTGAAATCTCTACGTGCTTCAATTTTCTCATCTGTAAAATGGAAGAAAAATAGTAGATTCTTCAAAAGATGTTTGTGAAGATTAAATGTGTTAACTTCAAGGGCTTATTCAGCACAATGCCTGGCAGATAGTGAACACGCAAATGTTAGCTGCCACCACCATTGTTGTTATCATCAGCACTTTTACTTATTTAATCAAATTCTTATTTATGGGCATATGAGCTTTCTTCCTTTTTTGCTATTACAAACAGTGCTTCAGGGAATAAGCTTTACATTCATTATTTTGCACATCTGTGAGTTTATGGATGCTTTGCAACAAATACATCATCAAGGCCAAAGAGTATATAAATTTTGTAATTTTGGTAGACATTTGCCAAATTTCATACCATGAGAGTGTATCAAATTATGCTCTCACCAGCAGTTTGACATAATTTAAATGATCAAGAACTTGATGGTAGCTTTCTGATGTTACTTCTGTTTCTGGAATTATTCATAGTTAAAAATGACAATTTTGAAAGTTTGTTCATCTCCACCAGAAGTACAATCTTGTTAGGAGGGCCTGCTCAAAGAACCCTTAATTTTTTAATATAAAATGTGTATGTTGGTAGGTTATCCTTGCAGGATTCTCACAGATACGTTGTTAGTGTTGAAGAGAGTGGAAGATAATCTTTTATTTTTTTCCCATTCTTTATTTTCAGATGTTTATGTTTCCATAAATCTGAATTATTTTGGATCTTTAATTTACCTTTCTTATCTGTAAACTTAAATAATCTTCTATTAGAAATATGCTTCTTTAAGAACCAAGGATGCAATGGTGAACTGAGATTAGCTTTTTAATTTATTTTGAGTACTAGTCTTGAGTTACACCAAGACTTTTTCCTTTGTCAAAAAAAGCTTAATAGGAAGAAAGAAAAGCCTAAGATGTTGGGCATTTTTCAAAGAACTGGGGGGAATACAAAGATTAATAGAAGTGGTCTCTGCCCTATTTTCTCTTTTGGATGAGCTAGATGGAGGCCATTTCCAAGTTAGAAAATGTAAAAAGGGACCAAGAAGAATGTATTGGACAGAACTTTGAAATTGCCACTGAAAGTAAGTGAAACAAATCAAAATAAGTCATCAGAGAATACAGTACAAGGATGTAGTGCTATAGAAACCAATATAACGAGCAAATGCTTTAAATAGAATAGATAGGATATTACTACGGAAAGACTGTTTGGTGTAGCAATTAGGAGATAATTGGTGTGAGGAAGCAGTTTTAGTAGAGTTATGGGACCCAACTGGAGAAGAATGAACAGTTGGAAAGTAAGTAAATAGGCTAATCTTTGGAATAATCATTGTGGCAGCAGAAGGATTTTCCTCTTTAAAAAAAAATCTCAGTAACAAGCTTCTGTTCATTTTCAAAATTATGGCTTCAAACATCTGATTTTATTTTATTAGTAATTGTTTTTTGTAAATGGTAGTCCCCTTTAAAGATGCTAAGCATGAGGTTGTTTTTTCATATTGCTTTTAATGCTAGGTACTGTTTTGTTGCTTTTCATTTTATGACATTAAATTAATGTGATGAAACAGTCCCTTTATGAACTAACATAGCTAGTTATTGAAATGATAGTTAAGACTCCATTATATCTGAAAACTGCCTTATCAATCATGAAAATAGAGTTGAGCATTATTTACACTGAATGTATTTTAACAATGACAGTGTAACTTATTGCTAAAATAGTAGGATTAGTGTTGTTCTTTTTGAGTTTTTAAAAAGTCAACTTTAGCAAGATATAATTTTTTCTTTTTTTGAGGAAGGTTAGCTCTGAGCTAACATCTGCTGCCAATCCTCCCCTTTTTGCTGAGGAAGACTGGCCCTGAGCTAACATCCGTGCCCATCTTCCTCTACTTTTTATGTGGGACGCCTACTACAGCATGGCTTGCTGAGCAGTGCCATGTCCGCACCCGGGATCCAAACTGGCAAACCCTGGGCCTCCGAAGTGGAACGTGTGCACTTAACCACTGCACCACCGGACTGTCCCCAAGATATAATTTCCATACATTAAAGTTTACACACCTTAAGTATACAGATTGATGACTTTTGACAATTGCATAAACCGTGTAAGGACACTCCAATCAAAATGTAAATTATTTCCATCTCCCCAAGAACGACTGTTACCATGTTTAATAACTTAAAAAAATCTAAGTTTACTTCTTTAGCTTGTTTAGTAGTTATGAATGTAATTTTACTTATCAAGAGTACTGTGAAACAACCCCTGAAATTACATGCTTTTTTCTACGGGAATCTTGTTTCAGATTGACAAAATAGTTCATGATCCAAACAAGGTTATATACAGTTAAACAGTTTTGTTTAATTTGAGTGATTTTAAGAATGTCTGACAGAAAGTTACTTTTACTTGAGATAATTTATAATGAACAGTTTAATGTTTCCAGTTTAATTTTTTAAAAATCCTCTGAAAAGAAAGACTATATTATAGTGCATAAACAACCTGTGTTCAGTACTATCTTAAATACTGTTGTTTGCTTAAAAAAATAAAATCACAATGTAAAAATTTCCCATGTTGTTTAGGAAATTGCATGTTGAGGAAGAACTCTGTAAAAATATTTTTCCCTTTCATCTACCTCCCAACCTAGACTCTCTCATCCCTAAAGCTGGATATAGGGGATACCTGTTGGTGGTACTACTTAATGAATTAAGCGTCCTAAAAAGGAATGAGAGAGCTATATATCACGTAACTAAAACCTGCTTAAAAAGTGGTTCTGACTAAAGATAGGACAGATATCCTTTTTCTCATTTTACAAATTAGTAAAAATTATGTGAAATTCAGTTTAATGTGCCAAATGTGCCGTTGTAGTTTTTGTTGGGACTCTAAGACTATTCTTTGATGACTTTTAGTGGCTGTTCTGCTTCATCCTCTTTCCTATAAGAGTACAGTACATTTCAGAGACTCTTCCTTCTTACACTCCTAAATGTGATTTGAATTGGAGCTTGTAATCACTGACAAGAAGCCTGTCAGAGGTTATAAGGTATTTTCTTACTGATTCGTTGAATCGTATTGTTGTGATTTTTAACTTGAATATTTTACATTTATACAGTTGGGACTGAACCTCATTTAATTATTAGGCCTGGATCCTCTGTACTCAAAATTCATTTTGAATCTTATTTCAGTTTCTTTAAATTACGTTAATTTTTAATGCAAGTGTTTGATATATACCACTCTTGTCATTCTTTTAAGTGATAATATTTACGTAATCATTTTGAGGTCTAAAAAAGTAGTATGAAAGAATGAGATGAGAAAGGGGTTAACTTTTTCTTTGATACTTATGTAGAAGTTATTGAGCAACTTTTCATGTTCAGAGAAAACAGATTTAAATGAAATGTGTTAACAGATTAAGGGACATTTAGGCATAATTTATAGAGAAATATTCTGATGATAAAGAATATCAGAAGGAACCATGAAGCAAGAAAATACTCTCTATACTTGGATGTTTTTCAGACCAAGGCAGGCAGCTATATGTCTGGATATTACTAGTATGTATTGAAGTCAATGCTTCGAGTCCCCTTACAGTATAAATTCATTGTTTTATGTCTTTGTCTTTTCCTTCCCCAACACTCCTCTCAATATTTTTCCTTATACTTATCTAATTCGTATAATGTTCAGGGTTTTTTAACGTGTAAAGAACTTTGAAGTTCTTAAACAAGAGACTTTTTTAGAATAACTAGGAGTTTGAGAGAGGAAAAGAAAACCTCAAGACTTTCGTATAAACCTTTTCAAACAATGGTCAGATTAAATTTAATGCTTAGCATGGAATAAAAAAAGGTTAACTGTAAAATCTGTTTTCCACAGGTACTGTGAGAATAGAGATGTTTCGAAATATGCAGAATGCAGAAATCATTAGAAAAATGACTGAAGAATTTGATGAGGTATAGTATTTCAATATTTATACAAATTGCCTACTTATACTTTTAAATGGTGAATATATTGATTATTTTAAGGTGTGTTTTGGTTTGGTGTTTAGTATAAGGGAAGATACATGATTTTCTCATTTATATGATTATCTATGCTACTAATTCCAAAATTAATGATCTTTTGGATTTGATTACATTGCATGGAGGTAGCACTGAATAAGGACTGATAAGGGTAAGAAAATTAGAGGTATGAGGTAGAAGTTGATTCTTGACATTCATTCTTGAAGACCACTTAAAATTCCTGAATTTCTAAGTACATCTCCAACAATTTCTTGTTCTGTGGAATGCTAGTCCTATTAAATGCTTTAAAGTAAAAAGGATTTGGAGGTCAAAGAAGTGTGAGAGAGATGTTATACCTGCCCTAGAGATTGTTAAGGCACATTATTTATTATTTAGGGTTCTTAGAAATCCTGATGGAGAAAAACCTGCTTAACTTTGTTTAATCCAGAATTCCCAAAATTATTTTACGCAGTTCTCCTCTTGCCACTCCGTTTGCGTGTGTATATTTAAACTTAAGCTTCTATTTGGGGCACTCTCCTGGAGAACATTCTGATATCCATTTAGAATACATGTTTCTTTGCTAGTTTTTACAAATTAATTGTGCAGGAATCGTTTTTTCTGCATGATTTTTCCATTTTCCCTGAACTATTCTCTCAAGCAATTTTACACTGATTGTAAATGTTGAAACACTTTAACAGTTTTATTTCTGTATTGTATTTATGGTGAATTCAATTCATGTCATGCTTTAGGCCACCATTAATTCCAGTTTTAACATTCTGTCTTTTGATTTAAGTAGGACTTCTATTTTCTGGTAGACATTCCTTTTTTTCTTGACTTTCAACACTAACAACACACACTGCTTTTCTTCTAGGTCTACTCTTTCCATGTGGTGGGCTCAGGCTTTTTATTATTATTATTATTATTATCAGTAGTAGTAGTATTTCCTTTTTTTTTTTTCTTTTTGGGGAAGATTAGCCCTGAACTAACTACTGCCAATCCTCCTCTTTTTGCTGAGGAAGCCTGGCCCTGAGCTAACATCCGTGCTCATCTTCCTCTACTTTATATGCGGGACGCCTACCACAGCATGGCATGCCAAGCAGTGCCATGTCTGCACCTGGGATCTGAACTGGCGAACCCTGGGCCGCCGAGAAGTGGAACATGCGAACTTAACCACTGCGCCACCAGGCCGGCCCCAGTAGTATTTATTTCTAATTGCAAAAAAGTAGTACAAACACATGGTAAAACAAACACACATTGCACAATATATGTCTTTCTCATCAAGTGTTCACCTTTACTGTAGCAGAACATACCAAAACATTTTCACATGCATCTTTACAGAAACATTCTGTCAGTGACTTGAAGACTATTTAGTCATATTCCATGGGAGGTAGGGGAGACTTTACAGTGTAACCTGTGCATGTATATGTCCATAATTACTTGTCTTTATTTCTGTAATCCAAAAAAGCTCTGAAATTCTAAAGGACTATTTTGCAATTTAATTGGTGGCAAAACCTGGCCTCAACTAACATGAGGCTCTTTACAGTTTTTATTTATCCCAGTCAGTGTAAATATCTATATGTATTGCTGATGAAATATTAATGGTCTTGATTACAGGGGCCTGCTCCAGATTCTATTGGGGTGTGATGGAACATAAAGTATGTGCACTAGCTTCTTCCTTTTTTTTTTTTAATCAAAGATTGGCCCTGAGCTAACATCTGTTGCCAATCTTGTTTTCTTTCTTCTTCTTCTCCTCCTCCCCAAAACCCCCCAGTACATAGTTGCATATTCTAGTTGTAGGTCCTTCTAGTTCTGCTGTGTGGAATGTCACCTCAGCATGGCTTGATGAGTGGTGCTAGGTCTGCATTCAGGATCCGAATTGGTGACACCCTGGGCCGCCAAAGCAGGGCATGAGAACTTAAACGGTCTACCATGGGGCTGGCTCTGTATTAACTTCTATAATTATAAAAAACTTATGGATTCTTAAACTTTTCTGTGGGATTACTTTTCACTAAAGAATATTTTTTGTTGTTAACTTTGTGAGTTTATATGTGGCAAATAGAAGATGATAAAGCCAGTGCAAGTGGTAGTTTACTGACTGTCTCCTGTACTAGCCATTTTGCCAGGCTTGAAATACAGGTGATTTGGGTCACAGATTAAAAAGTAGTGTGCATCTTGGACCTTCAGGGCACTAATACATGATAGAGTGATTATTAAGAGTTTAAGACAATAGTTGCCAAACTTTGCTGCACATTAACATCATGTGGAGAGACTTAAAAACTACTGATGCCTGGTTCCCTCCCACATCACCCAGACACTGATTTAATTTGAAAGGCATGTGACCTAGGCATAGGGATTTTTAAAAGCTCATCAGGTGATTCTAATCTACAACAAAGTTTGGGAACTACTGTTCTAAGGGAAATAAAAAGGAGAAAGCCAAGATTTAAGTTATAAAAACACTTCATGTATGAGAATAGAATGAGGGGTAAACAAAAATAAATACACTGTGAAAATGCACAATAACAGGAAATCATTGGTTTAATAGTAAGATTTTGAGATAACTAGAAGAAGGTAAGGAGTTAAGCAAAATGAAGGTCATGGTATACCTAAGAAAATATTCATGTGAATGTTGTCAAATATTCAGAATATAAGGAGAAATAGTAAACTGTTACCAAGACTGATAATGAGTTAAATATCGCAAATGTTCATTTAAATTTTTCAAAAGGCATTTATTTCATATCCTAAATATTTTTCCTCTCAATATTGGAGATTATGGACTTAATCAAGACTGTTTTAAAAGTCATCATTCTAATTTGTTTTCTGTTTGACAGTACAACTAACACAGTTTTGATTATGATTAGAATGTATTTACTTAAAACAGAATTATATATTAGATGTCTTCTGAGGCTATCCATTTTATCTTCAATCACTTTAGCAAGATATGGCTCCTTTTGCTACTCCATACACTAAATTGCTTTTAAATGCTTGCATATTATTAAGTATACGTATATTTTATTAAGCTTTTTTTCCTTCAAAATACTTTATAGGTTGCTTAGTCCCCTGGGAGTGGATTGAGATTAGTTTTGGTAAATTGTATTTTGTGATAAAATTCTGAAAGATCTCATGACAAGAACCATTGGATCCCAAGAGCCTAGAACATTGTCTGGTTCATAGGGAGTAGCCATTAAAATTTTGTTAAATGAATGAATAAATTGTGTTATAGCAAAGTAAGGTAAAGGTGAGAGGAGTTAGAAGTAGCTGAGATTGAAGGTGTTTAAATTTGGAAAAGGTAGTCCAAGAGTATGTTGTGGCCTGGAAAGGTATGCTATAGCTTCTATTCCTTATTACAAACTGGTTATAACATTTGTTATTAGATATACTTTTTTTAAAGCCCTACAAACTTGCACACAGCCAAAAGTGCTCCGTAATTATATCAACCTAATTAAAAAATATATTAATTCCCGTAGCAGCCTATAGCTCTTTATAGTCAATAGATACACTACTATCCTGTGTATCTTTTGGAGAACCAACACAGGAGTCAGCTACTGTGAGATAAAGCAAAATGTAATAGTATTTCTTCCCTAGATCATTAGAATCACATCTTCATAGATAAATTCTAAGATATATTTCCTGAAAGTTGTGTAGTTTTCCTATATTTAAGTGTAGCATCTATGTAGGAAAGCTTTTGCAACACAACACATTTGATGTATTCACTTAGTGCCTTTAATTCTAGTCTGTGATATTTTGTATTGCATTGCTCACAATTATAGAGATTTTGTGCACTGTGCTCTTCTATAATGATTACACCTTATCCTGTAGCTTTTTTTCTCTTCTAATTGTATATACTTCTCTGAATTTGTTTATTTAAGCTTAAATGTAGAACTTTTTATTTATTTATCCATTTGAGCTTTATTAATCAAAGGTTTAAAGATGTGAAGAAATGTAAAAATGGTTAAATAGCATATAACCTAAGAAAATGTAAAGGAAATGCCAAAGATATGGTAAAGGAAGCCTCCTCAAATTATCTCCATTCCCAAATTAAAGTCAAATTTTTTTGATTGTGCATTCCATCATTAAAACATTTTTCAGCCCATACTCTGAACAGTGAAAACCCATGGTAAGGCTAATTTTATATATAAAATTATTCTCTCCTCCTCTCCCTCTTCCCCACACTCCTTCTCAAAGGCTAGTTAGAGTTCTTATCTTGTGGGGACAGTGCTTTAGAAGTAACTGCCTGATGATTGTTTCACACTTGTTAGTTCTGAACTAAGTCTATTTCCTAATTGTCTGATAAGTAAATATAAATAGATAAAGGTTTTTTTTCCTTCATTCCACCCTTGGTAATCAGAAGACTGAGTGTATAGTCTTCACTTATTATATTACACTGTAGTTTGCAGTGTATGTATATTTATTTATAGAACTAAATGCACATACTACTAAATCAGTTTCTTGTCCCATGTCATTAGATCGTCATGGCTTTAACTTTTATAGTGGTCTAAGAAGAGTTTGTGCAGAAAGTGTCAGTGCTGCCACATTTCGTATTACTCAGTTATGATTACATCTTCAAATTTTTGTTTCTGTTTTCTCCAGAAATATGTTTTCATTTTGTGAAGAGTTAAAAATAAATAGTACAAATTATAAATTCGTTGCATTGATCATATGTAACTTTCAAAGTGAACGAGCCACTGTGAAGAGTGCCATTTCTAATGTCAACCCCTTTGAGCATTGAACTCTTCTTACTCTTCTCCCAGGATTCCTCAAACACCATTTGTAACACAAAACAATCTGAAATATGGGCCAAATGAGGCCATACCAAGTTTATTCTATATATTAAATATTATTAGGAAGTTAATTTATTTCTTATCTTTAGGTAAAAGTAAGGAGAAGTATTAATTTTTTGGCAATATGCCACTCAGTTTGTGTTATACATACCACTTTTGCAACTGCTCCAAGTTGAC